GTTTGTGTAAAGCAACATTAGTGCCCCTAGTGATAGGAATTATTTACCTTCGGCGGGTTCTGGGGGGGAAAGAGGGCATTGATCAAGTATTTTTAATATTAAGTTTTCAGAGTTCTTAACTATATTAAATGTTCCAGAGACTCCATTTATCAAGCACCATGAACAGAATCAACCTGTGTCCTCTGGTTGGGCTCTTGGGCAGTCTAATGGATTATGTATCACAGACATGCCGTAACCTTAGTATATAATGATGCCCTTCTTCCTTTTTGAATTTACATAGTATTTTACTGGTAATTTATATTAAACAAGATAAATATGAAAATATTCCTATAAAAATAACATCAATATATTTGAGGTTTAGAAATGCAAGCTAGTTTTATTAGTCTCTTCTAGTTAACATATTCTAATAGGTAAATATTTCTAGTACTAAATCACAAGACAGTGTTTTGATTTCATTAGAAAGGCCCTAAGTGAAAGAGAACAGAGATTCACGTTAGGGAAGGGGCTTGGCTGACCTGAAGAAGGATGAATGGAAGTGATGTGCTCCCCAGGAAGATCGTGGAGCAACTGGAACTTGAAAACCCAGTGTTGGAGGTGGAAGGAGAACTGAGCAGACACATCTTGTTCAGTACTGCCCGATGGAAATAAAATTGTAAAACATATATGTAATTTCAAATTTTCTAGTAGCCACTAAAACAGCAAAAGCCACATGAAAAAGTAATACTTAATATATCCAAAATATTATTTCAAAATGTGAGTCAAACAAAATTTTTAAGATATTTTGCATTCTTTTTTCATACCATGTCTTTGAAATCTGGTATGTATTTTATATTTTCAACACATCTTAATTTGGGCTGGCCACACTTCAGTGCTCACAAAGGGTAAAAGCTACAGTACTCAACAGCTTGGGTTTGATCTGTGCTTGGAAAGCCTGACACCACCTGGGAAGACTGTACATCTGAATCCAATCTAGTGACTGGCAGTGGCCTTAGGTGAGAGAAACTATTCTTCCTTCCCCTCCCGCTTTCCCTGTCCCCTCCTCCCTCCCTGAAATCATGTAATGCATAATAATTAACGTGTCAGATACCAGATACTGTGCTGGGCATTCCAAATGCATTATCTCAATCCTGCAAGAATCTGAGATTTCATTTTTTAAAGTAAATGAAATAACTGGTGGCAATATAGTATAATGGTTAAGAGTACAAACTTAGAGGTAATTCTTATGTGCTTCTGACACTCATGTCACTTCCTGTGTACCTTGGTTAGGACATTTCTTTGCTCTAGGCTTCAAAGTTATTTGTCAGATGAACACAACAGAAGTATTTGTTTATAGATGTCATGTGGTTTAAATGAGACCATGACTGAAAAGCTGTAAATATTAATTAAATATTAATATCACCAAGTGGGATAAATGTGGAACACTTTGGGATTTGCAACACAGTATATGAATGTTACTACAACCAAAGTTCAAAGAAGTGGCTTTTCCAAGTTAACATAGCTAATGACTAGTGATCAGAATCTTGCCTTGTTTGCCTGTCTTTAGTATTTCTTGACATCTGCTTTCCATTACAACATAGACTGAATTTGCCCTGATTCTGACATAAAATGAAAAGGACTCCTGAGATAGAAATTCCTGATATCTGCTTGTCATTCTCATTGAAGTAGAATTCAGAAAAAAAAAAAAATTCTGGGCTTGGGACTAGCTTAGTAGTAGAGCATCTATCTCCTTAGCTTGGTGAAGCCTTGGGTTCAATCCCTAGCACCACATACCTAATTCTGTGTTATTTATGTATTTATAAGTGGGAATTTACTATCTTAAGAAACGAGATAAGGAATACACACAAAAAAACGGAAGATCGAATTGCTTTTGCTCCTTTGCTCTTTTTGATTCTGGTTTTACTTGAGAACAATGCATGCCTGTTTAGTTAAGCCATATTAGCATTTTAGCAAAGGACAGAAATAGCAACGATTATATTATTGTCTATTAGCAATGTATTTACAAGGACATGTGCCTCTCATCTTTTTAGGAAAAAAGTTCTTGAAATTTATAGAAATTCTTGGTAGTACTATTAAAATGCATGCAATCAGTGTCTGTCTAAATACCTATAAAATCTAGGCAGGTGTGGTGGCACACGCCTATAATCCCAGCAACTCAGGAGGCTGAGGCAGGAGGATTATAAATTCAAAGCCATCTGTGGCATCTTAACTAGGCCCTGTCCCAAAAACAAAAAAAGGGCTGGAGGTATGACTCAGTAGTAGAGCGCCCCTAGGTTAAATCTTCAGCCTTCCCCCACCACTCCCCCCAACAACTGTAGGAACTAGCCCAGGAGGTTGAAGTCAGTGGCAATGTACCAATCAAAGAAAACAAGGAGACATGCCTGAATGACTAAGACCCTGTTAGCACTAGCCTTCCTGCCCAATGTCTCACTAAGCCTCTGTTCCCTCCCTACAAAGCCCTTTCATATACCTTAGTTCCCAGATGGTGTTTTCAGGATGATAGGCCCTCTCTCTTCTCAGGGCTAGCCCTTGAATAAAACTGACTCCCCCCCCCCCCAACTCTTATTTTCCAAGTATTGGCTTTTGAGTAGTGAGTAGCCCAGACCTGGGTCCAATAATATCTCTCCAATTTTCATCCCACTAGAATTACTTCCTTGTCTGGACACTGTCTTTTTATATACTTTTGTGTGCCTCCTGTTTCATACATAGTTTACACCCAATAAATATCAGCTATAGGTAGAGGAATGCAGTTAAGCAGGACATCCTCAGAAGTTTCCTCAGGTTACTACCACTTTTGCCCCCTATCCCCCCAACTGTAATGAAGTATATAATAAGAAAAGCATGTCTATTCATCACTAAAGCCTTCTTGGGAAAGCACTTGAGAAGAAATGTTTGGGTTTGCAAATATATGGTTAAGATTATTAAACTTTGATGACAGATTTTCTAGTTTTTTAATGAATCATGGTGCTGCCATTTAATGGCTCTGACATTTTGGAAAGTTCTTAATTTTCTGGGTGTTATGTTATTCATGTGTAAAATGGGGGTGATAATGACAGTGCATACCTTAGATAGTTGTTAGTATTACATGAATTAATGTATGTGAAGGACTTATAAATTTTTGGCACATATAAACACATAATCAGTGCTAGTTGTTATTATTGTAATTATTAAACCATTAGGGTTGAGAGATGATCTCAAAGAGCCAAAGTTGATCCCCCAATTCTCCATGTTGTAAGAGCAGTGCCAATCATTATGGGCTTTCTGCTTTGCTGAGCGCTTGCATGTCTTTGGGGAAGCCAAGTTGATTTCCTATGATAATCAGAGAGGAAGAAACTTTGATAATGGAGGCAGAATTCATTTATACATTCCATAGGTATTTACTGAGTGTCTATTTTGTGCAAGACATAAAGGAAAATAAGACAGCCATATCTCTTACTACAGAGGCTGACAAAAATAAAAATAAAATAGGAGAGAGGCACCAGAGAGCCTGGGTCCTGGGGTAGAGTGGACAGACCACTTTATTTCTAGTTGATATGGCTTAGCTGAAAGAAACTGGACATACAGAGATGCTATGGTAGGATTTTAAAGCACCAGCTAAAGGATGTGTAAATCCTCCCCTCCACCTTCTCCAAGAAATCTTCAATAAAGTTTCCATTGCTCACTGGAGAGCCTGGAGAAGGGAAAAAGAGCAGCTATTTTGGTTATAGCTACTGGGGGAAAAATGCTACAGGCCAAAAAAAAAAAAAAAAAAGCCTTTCCTCATTCTTGTGTGCTACAGTAAGGAAACATTCTAGTGCATGCAGTATTTAATGGTTATAAATTATATCCCCATGCACTGCATAATGCAAGGCTCTTTAAAATAAATATGAATTAAACAGTACCAACAGCAGTTTTATTAACTGAAGAGAAGACACACATCAGGAAATTGGGAATCCTGAGAGGAAAAGGGGCCATACCTGCAGTCCAGACTCAGCTATGACCCCTCCCCAAGCAGCCCCTTTGTGATTAATTAGTCAAATGGATTCCTCAGCAATGGCAACATGTTACTTTGTAACTACTGCCTTTAATGAGGCAGACTTTCTTAAACACAAGTGTCCTAAGGTTTAGGTGTAGGGAGGGAAGAGGTACACTCTGCACTTACTGCTCCCATCCTTTTCTTTGGGTCAGGGGGGTCCCAGGGATTGAACTTGGGGCACTCAACCATTGAGTCACATCCTCAGCCCAGTCTTTTTGTATTTAGAGACAGGGTCTACACTGAGTTGCTTAGCAACTCACTTTTGCTGAGGCTGCCTTTGAACTCATGATCCTCCTGCCTCAGTCTCCAAGCTGCTGGGATTACAGGTGTGCGCAGCTGTGCCAGGCTCCCATCCTTTTTTGACTTCTAATTTCCCACTCATGTCATGTCACCATTTTTAAAAATAACAATTTAAAGAAAGGTACAGCAAATATATTTATTTTAAAAAGTAATCAGCCATCAACCTAAAAAAATCCAAAACTATCAATTTGCCTGAATTTCTAAGAGTGAAATAAATAATGCTCTGTTGAAATTTACCTACACAAATTGAGACTTTAAGGGGGAAGAGAGAAACCAGTCATTTTCTTCTTCTTAGGTTTGTTTATTTATAAGCCCTGGGGTTTCTGCATCTTATAATGTGACTACTGATTGAAAAGATATATGGTTGTTTATTAGTGTTCTCAAAGCACTATGAAAATTCATATCACCTTGGGTGGTATATTTTACTCCTAAAGCTAATAAGTGAATATAGAAGCAGTTTGTATTTAACAAGGCTAAAAAATGTTAATGCCAATAGCTTGCTTTGAATAAGATTTTCCTTTAAATCATTAATGAGAAAATGAAGAGCTTGGGTGGTCAAGCATGAAATGCAAATGAGTAGTTTTCTTTTTTAGGCCTTGTTGTCTGATGTCACCTGATTTCAAATTTAAATTTGATAATGTAGAAAATGACCCTATGATCTGCAGTATTATGAAACAATGTAGCTTATGCCTGAGATTTTTAGACAACACTACTGGAACTGACTTTCAACTATTTTTTTCCCCCTGAGACTGGGGCCTTGCTATGTCACCCAGGTTGGCAACTTCTGGGCTTAAGAAACCTCTAGCCTCAGCCTCCTGGGACTATAGGAGGAATACACAGCACCCAGCTTCTAAGTACCATTTTCATATGACAAGGTAAGTGAAAAAACTAGACATTTTGAATTGGTTGGAGTCAGAAAAAGAGCTTGCCTGTCCCTATGTGATGGGCCATATTTTAAAATATAAAATTAACAAAGAAAGTGCTAGATTTCTTTAAATAGATGCAAAGCTACCAGTAAAATTCCTAATGGACCAAATAATCCAGGAAACATACTTTTGCCCTCTTATTAAGATGAGGAATATAAACATCTTTAAAGAGAAAAAGAACCTCTTTTCACCTTTCTGGTGTATAATGAGCTTCAGAATGGCAACTCTTTCCTATTCTCAGGCAGCTGGAGAGAAATGCAAAGTAGAGCTGCAATCAGAGACACAGGAAAAATCAAGGTGAACCCCAGGATGGGGTACCTACCTTTTATCACCAGAAAGAAATTTCAAAGAAAGGGCAATGAAAAATGCGCATGTTTTAGCTAGGCATGAACCATAATTACCTTCTTGAATAAGGACTGAGACTATAATAATAATAAGCTTTCAGCTTAGGTATTTTACCATCTCCACTTTGGGCCAGAAGAAAATGCCTCAGGATGCCACAAATTTCCATCAAAAAGAATTTGAATAATTTAGTGTCCCTGGGTAAACAATGTTTGTGCCAGTTTTCTCCCCAAGATGTGTGTTGCTTTGTAGGATAACTAAATTCATGAGGGAAGCTACTGTCCAAATATCTTATTTTATTTCAAAACATTCTTTTTTTTGGCGGGGGGGGGGGGGGTGTGGATACTGGGATTGAACCCAGGGGTGCTTAACCCAGGGGGCCTTAAGCCACATCTCCAGCCCTGGCCTTTTTTTTTTTTTTTTTTAATTTTGAGATGTGATCTCAGTAGGTTGCTTACAGTGTGACTAAATTGCTGAGAGTGGCTTTGAATCCGCAATCCTCCTGCCTCAGCCTCCTGAGCTACTGGGATTCCACCGGGTATTTCAAAACATTCTGAGTATGCTTTACTTTGGAAGGCATCAATAACAGCAATACACCATCTTTCAGAAATGCATTCCTATGCCTACAACTTAAGAAATAAGAATTTCTGTAAGAGCACACCCTTGAGCAATCATCACAATACTGAATGCCTGAGAACATTCTGGAAACCTCACTATTGACTGGCTTCTCTACAAGGGAAATAAATGAAATAAAACAGAAGCAGCTACTTTGGGGAACAGAAAAACGGTTTACCTCTTCCATTGCTTTTCTACTTTAATGGGTTTACTGAGAGTTAAATGTAAATGGTTTGAATTTTTAAATTCTTCAGAAATTTTAAATCTGTGGATAGTTGAATATCGCTCCCCCTCTTTTTTTTTTCTCCAGAATACCTTCCATCTACCGGATGGCGGGAATAGAAAGTTTGAAAAATTAAGTGCCTAAGACTTCAGATAACTCAGATGACATACATGCAATAGCATTCCATTTCGAATTTATTCAGCCCAATCTCTTGCACCTAATTATCCAAGACACAGAAATTCTCCAAATTTTGCACCCAAAAAAGGGAGGGAAAATGCAAGAGTCTTGCTGCAGTTCCCGGGACATACTGAGAGCCGTTTTGTTACAAGTGTATCCAATGTCCCCAGCACCAGAGACTTGTGGGGCGCCGCTTATCCCTGCTCCACTCGCTCTGCAGCTCCCAGAGGTGGCGGTTGTGTTATGAAGGCAGACCTTGCCAAGCTGGCGGACAAGATGCTGCGCACCCCGAAATGCTCGAGGTGCCGGAACCATGGTTTCCTGGTGCCGGTCAAGGGCCATGCGGGCAAGTGCCGTTGGAAGCAGTGCACCTGCGAGAAGTGCTACCTGATCACCGAGCGCCAGAAGATCATGGCTGCTCAGAAGGTGCTCAAGAAGCAGGCCGCCGAGGGGGAGCAGGAGGCGGCCCTGAGCCCGAAGGGTCCTCAGTTGGCCTCCGGGGCTGCAGCTGCAGCCGTGGGTTCTGGCCTCCGCTCGCTGCCTCCACTAGCTGTTTCTGGAGGCGCGGGGCCGGGCCCCGAAGGCCACGCGGCCACCTGCTTCCCAGAGAGGCCTCCGCAAGGCCCGAGCGCCTTCCAGCCGGTGCTGGGTGGCCGCGGCCGCGGCCACGTGGGGCTGCCCAGCTGTGCACCGCCCCAGCTCCGGGCCGAGGCCGCAGGCAGGGCGTGCCCAGGCCGCCCGGAGCTGCGTCGGCCGCTGAGGCCTCTGCCCAGCCCGCCGTTCGCCGACTTCGGTAAGATTCCCAGGCCCCGCGCGGCCTTGCCCCGCCGTGATTGCTCTCGGGACTGTGGTCTTCCCGCTCCTGAGCTGGCGGCCTAGGCCGCCCGGAGTAGGGGTTCAGGAGGGGAAAATGCTTTCCAGGGGTAACCCTGCTTTGAGAAACCTTTCTCTGAACAGGGATTCAGGCGGGATATCTTTGTATTAAAAGGATAAAAGAGACGGGAAGGAGTGGGTGATCCTGGGGACTTTTAACATTTAGCCGCAGTTTTTTTGCCTTTTCACTTTGCAAGGGGAAAATGGCGCCTGGCCGACTCAGCCGTGGCGTCTCTGTCCCCGCTCCGTAGGAAACCTGTCCTACTGCGCTTGCGCGCCTCTTGTCTCCAGTCTGGAAGATTTGTACTAGCGCAGCTCGCCTGGTGGCTCTTCCCGCCATTTTTCTCCGCCGAGGCTCCTTCAGGATTTAAAACCCGTGGGTGGATTGGCTCGACTAGGCTTGCGCTTGCGCACCTTCCTCCTCTCCACAGTCTAGGGGCTCTTTGCAAGGTTCTTTGCATCTGTTCCCGCAATTTCCCTGGGTGTCAGCCGTGGTCCTAAGACCACAGTACTCTGCACAAGAGAACATTTGATATACTGAGATGTTGCTTCTTTTTTCTACCCTCATCTTGTGCATAATTTATATTTTTCCCTTGTGCTACTTTCAGTATTAAAGTATAATTTCAAGCCAAAATTTGAGGCTTAGAAAACGGCTTTTTTTTTTATATATAGACATAGACTTTCTTGGTACTTTGCCTATGCCAGTGTAGAAAGGGCACGGGTATGAATCAAGAGGATGGGAAGCCGGTAAGCTTGGACAAGTTCCTTTCTTGTGACAGTTTCTTCCCTCTGTATGCTAAGGAATTGGTCTGGGTGCTCCATGGAGATCATTTCTGCCTTCTGGCACTTTTTCCCTTTACTCTCTTTTTCAGTACTGGGGATAATAACCAGGGTTGCTCTACCACTGAGCTACATCCCCAGTCCTTTTGACTTTTTTGAGACAGGGTCTGGCTAAATTGATGAGATTGTCCTTAAATTCATGATTTTCCTGTCTTAGCCTCCTGAGCCAATTTCTGAGAAAACATAGGTCTCCAAGGTCCTAGCTATAATGGAGAAGATAGACTTGAAACAACAATCCTAGGGAAGGTGACCTTTTCAAGGACATAGGATGTCTTTTTTGACCATCTCTCAACAAACAAGAATTGAATACTTACAATGTATTCCCCCAACACTAGTGACATGGAAAGGTGGGGAGAAGGGAGTCACATTTCCTTCTCTTTAGGGATTCTGTCTTTGTGGGAGGGACAATATTGATAGACAATACACTCACACATATCCGTGTATAGAGCTCTGATAATTGGTGATTTAGCTGTGGCCTGAAGGAAGAGCTGAATACATATGCTCCTCAACTTTTGATGGGGTCATGTCCTGATAACCCCATGGTAAATTGAAAATATCCTGCATTACAATGTATTTACTGTGCATAACCTAGCTTAGCAAGGCAGACCACTGTAGAGTGTTTCCCCTGGTGATCCCTTAGATGTCTGGAAGCTGTGACTCACTGCTGCTGCCCAGCATCTCAAAAGAGTATCTTACTGCATATCACTGGCTCAGGAACAAAACAAAATCGGATGTATGGTTTCTACTCAATGCATATCACATTTGCACCATTGTAAAATGAAAAATGGTAAATCAGGGACTGTCTGTACTGTGGACTTAAGGATGCAAAGTGAGGTTAGGAGGAAAAGTCAAGGGAAGAGCATCTGCAAAAAACTTGAGATGGATGGAGGAGCAGTGGTTGGAGGACTAAAGAGCAGTGAGATCAAAGCATAAAGAATGTGAGCCTTCTTTGTAGAGATGTGTTTATTACATTGTTATCCTTGGACAGTAATGTGGTGCTCCTTTTCCCGGCTGTGTTTCTAAACTTCCCTTGTCCATTGCCTTCTTCAGGGCGCCCTTTGAGCATCAACTCGGATTGTGTGGTAGGGGCTGAGTACCTGGAGCGAGAGCCTTCCAAGCTGTACCCTGGATGCTCCACCATGCACTCCTATCTCCCATTCCCACTGGGCTACCAGGATGCATCCCTAGCCCCAGGAATCCCCCCACAACGGGGCTTCCGGCATGTCTCCTGCAGCCATTACCATGGAGGTGGCTTGGTGAGTCCCAGCCCTGATCCATCCCAGAGTCCTCCTTACTCCAGCTACTCTTGCTGCCTTTGTGGGTCCTCAGTTCCAGGAAGCTTGTTGTCATAAATGATATGCCTCCCTTGGGAGATCTGCATCACTGGACCTGGGGCAGCGGCAGGTATTTTCAGAGTAAGGGAGACTGGGGTGACCACTTGCCTTGACTCATGGCATGCAGATGCTAGAAGGGCCTTCATCCTGCTGAACACCAGAAAAGAAATGCCAGTTCCCTAAACCTATAAAGCTAATGGCAAAGCTAGTACCAGATGTAGGTCCCCTGCCCACAGGTATAGCACATTTGAAACTGCAGAGGGCTTTTAGGAAGAGGTGACAACTGAGTCATGAAAAATACAGAAACCTTCCCCCAAGCACCTGTTGCCTTAGGAAACACTTGTAGAAAGAATGAATGAAATTCAGTCCTTTTCTAAGATTAATGGTTAGTTACTAACTGGTATCTTCCTTAAGCTTGACATTTTGAATATAGGATGTCAGGTCACCCCTGTTATATGGAATGAGAGGAGGGAACAACCAAGTTTGTGGCCTTGCATACCAACTCTCTGCAGACCAGAATAGTTAAAAACCCTCTTCAGGGGCTGGGGTTGTGCCTCAGCGGTATAGTGCTTGCCTAGCATACGTGAGGCCCTGGGTTCCATCCTCAGCACCACATAAAAAATAATAAACAAAATAAAGATATTGTGTCCATCTACAACTGAAAAAAAAACAAAAAACCTTTTCATTATGTCAGCCTCTGAGGGTCATTAGGACTGCAGAACAGGGTAGGCTGGGTGACCAGCCCTGACTTTGGTCCCATAAGGCTGGACCTGTGGACCAATTTGGCACAAACACAAAGCAACTTCATGGAAATAGGGAACACCATTGCCTTTGCCTCCCAGCTCAGAGTTTAAAGCCTAATAACCATGGACCATAGATATCTGTGAAGATGTATTTTAAAGTGGAGGGTGGAAATGAGTGAGGATTTCTTTGTTTACTATGGAAAGGAATGAAGAAGGAAGACAAAACTTGGTATTTATGTAGTGGAAGTCATTAGCCAGAGTGTGGGACATGGTGCCTAGGATCCAGCTGTGTGCAGCCAGGTCAGGCACATAGCATGCTGGTCCTCATTCCTGCTTCAGTTCATCAGCAACTCTTCTGTCTGTTTTAGATACTGTAAATTTTTACTTGTAAGTCATTTTCCATTGACTCAAGGGAAAAATGTTTGAAAACCACTGGTCTTGATAATTTCCAGGGTGCCTACTGACCCTATGTGAACCTTCAAGGCTGGTGTTTTTAACCACTTTGTAGAGTCAGGGAAAGGATTCAGAAAAGTTAAGATTTTGTCCACAGGACTGATGAATGAGGTACTGTGACTCAGGTGATGCAACTGGTTGGTGATTCACCCAGGACACTTGCCACAGTTGCCTTGACTCTGGAGCCCAGGTGCTTTCTGCTGCCTATGTGTTTCCTACAGAGGTGGGAGAAGGCCTCGATCTTGACCCTCATACCACTGTTGGCTGTCCAACCTGAGAGATGTGGGTGCTGCCTCTGGCCACCCCATCACAGCCCAGAGAGAGCAGGGTGTCCCCAGCCTCCACACAAAGAGGGGCTGTGGCCAAGCAGCTCTTCGCCGTCTGTTCACACAGAAGCCTGGAGACTGGCGTCCAGGACAGGACTCTGATTGACAGCTCTGCCAGACGGCTTTTGTTAAGAGTGTGATCTCAGTCAGTTTATCTGGTTTGAGCTGCCACCACAGGCCCCAGGCAGGAGCTGTGATCCAGGGGGAGACTTGGCTGAGCAGCTTGGAATTAAAGCACTAATAATCCCCCTCCCAGCCTTCATATCTGGAGAAGGATCAAGCATTTATTTGGGAGGCTGTTTCAAACCCAAGAGTCTGTGGATTACTTTTACTTATTGCCCTCTGTACCCACTTGAGACACTCCCCCAGGGACATTGTTCTCCCTGTCCCTGCCCACCTGCTGTTTCCTAGAGACTCCTAGAGAGCACAGGATCTGAGTTGGACAGATCTCGGGCACCACCCTGCCTTGGCCCTTTTCCAGCTGTCTTCCCTGGGGAGGTTTCCTGACCTCTAAGCACCTCACTTAAGTTCTTTGGCTATCAAAGGGTGGTGGAAGTACTTATCCCATAATTGGGTTTAATAAGGTATGCCTAGGGTCTTTACACAGGGTTTGGCACATAGTAGGTGCCTTGCAGCAGGGATTTTTCTTTTTCCTTGTGGCCAAATGAAGTTAGGAAGTTATGGCTTAATTTAAGGAGATTCTTTCTTTTTTCTTTTGGCACCAGGGATTGAACCCAGGGGCACTTAACCACTGACTCATATCCCCAGAATTTTTTTTTTTTTTTAAGAGAAAGGGGTCTCGCTAAGTTGCTGAGAGCCTCAGCCTCCCAAGTCACTGGGATTACAGGCATGCGCCACCATGTCCAGCAATCTTAAGGAGACTCTTACAACTACCCAGAGATATAAATACACTCACATGTGGCCCTCCCATGTGAAGAGCCGTATAGGTGGGGTTTCTCAAACTTGACTAAGAACAGTATCTTGTAGGATTCATCTCATTGAGTCTGGGTGCTGTAGGGTGGGCTCAGCTCCCCCCTACTGAAAAAGGAGCAGGAGTACAGCAGAGCTGTTCAGTGCAGCTCCTTGTCTGAGGTCCCCCAGCTTCCCTTGCCTCAGAAACACCTGGCTACACCCAGGTTGCTGAAAACTTTCCCTCAACCTGCCCCCGCACCCCGACAAACACACACACTTAGGCTGCAGCCATTACGTGTCAGGCAAGGGGGCCTTCAGACCTTTCTACAGCACCGTGGTCAGCTGAGTAGGCTGTGCAGTCACAGACTTGGGATCCAGTTCTGCCTTTGCCACTGACCTGCTCTGTGGCCCTGGCCCTGTGGCATCCTCTCACTGAACCTGTTTTTCACTGGTATGACCAGAATGGTAACAGAACCTCCTAGGGGTGTGTAGGGATCTAAGTGTGGTACCCCGGGCACATACAGAAGGGCTCAGTCCGTGCTGTGCTCAGCAGGTCCCCAGGCTTATGTGAGAGGTGCCTGCATTCCTTCTTGCCTTCACTTACGAGGGAGGTGTTTGCTGAACACCCTGTTCCAAGGGTCCTTCACTGAGTGTCTTAGATCACAGAGGTGTGTCTGCCCATGGGAACCCCTCCTGACTAACCAGCTCCCTGTCTGCCTCTGCTGTATGCACCATGCAGGTGTCGGAACCAATGGGAGACTTCCAGCCAAGCTACTACCTGCCCCCTCCACCACCCCCACCTCCACCTCCGCCTCAGCTGCAGTTCCTCCCACCAGGCTTCCTCTCTGCGCTGCACTTCCTCCCACCTCCACCTCCACCACCGCCACCACCAACCTTCTCACTTACCCTCCTTTCTGATACCGACAAGGAGAGCACTGGTAAGTGAGCACTAGTCTTCCTGCTTCTAGGAGAGCCAGGAAACTAGAGGAAGAGGAGGAAACCATGTGAAGTGCGTGTGGGGAGAGGTGACATGGGATACAGGATTTGAACTTGGCTGGGCCCTGAGATAAGCTCTTCCCCCAGTCTCCACAGCATGCATCTAAGGGAGGTGGGAACAGGATTCTCCAGGTGAAGACACTGAGGTTCTTGGGGCAGAGTGGGATCAGAACAGGGCTTTTCCTGGCTCGAGTCCAGTGCTAATTCCTTACCTTATAAGCACCGTAGGCAGGGTGCAGAGGATGCATGCCCATGATGTGCTCAGCAAGCCAGAGGGGCTGGGGCTCTTGGCTGGAGTAGGACCTGTGCAGGGACAGCAGAGACTGAACCTGGAGTGCAGCAGTAGCCACTATGAGGGAAACTTGGGTGCTTGGCCCCTCTTCTCACTATAACATGGTCCCTAGGAGGATCCACTGATCATTTGGATTCAAAATACTTTGAGATTTCTTTTGAGAGCCCTTGACCCTTTAATGGTTCTAGGACTTTCTTCCTTTCAATCTTCCCCGAGCCTCCTGTAGTTTGAAAAGACTGGTAGACTCAAGGAAGTCTTAAAATGACTCTCAGAACCATCTTGTGAGCTGGGTGAGTCTGGTGCTATTCTCTCCACATCACTGAAGAGGAGACAGGTCTCCTCTGTGTGTGCGATGCCTAGATACATGAGCTGATATAGAGTGGCCTGAAGCTTGCTGGCCAGTATAGGTGGCCTGGGCCTGAGTCCTGGCTTTAGCACTTATCAGCTGTCTGACCTTGGATCAATGTGTTTGTTTCTTGGTGCCTCATTTTCTACAATTGCAAGAGGGACTGCTAATGGTCCCTACTTCATAAGGCTATTCTGGGGTTGGAGCCGAACCTGAAGCACTAGTGGCAGTGAGCTTATTGTCTCTTCTAGTCTCCATGCTGCTATTGCAAGGTAAGTGTCTCATTTTACGGAAGGGCTGGCTGAGCTTAGGACCTGTGGAAGAACCTTGCTTAACCACCCAGCTTGTGAGGGGCAGAGCTGGAGTTAGAACTGGACTGTACCATGGTCAGGTTAATGTGCCAATCTCCCCGCCTAGCAAATGAAGGGCAGACTCTCTCTCCATAGGGATGAGAACAATGAGAAAACCTGCTTCTGAGAACAGGTAATTCTTCCCTCTTTTCTAAATCTGGTTTCCTTTTTTGTCCTTTACAGATGACCAGGATGCAGAGGTACCTTGTGAGCCCAGTCAGCCCTCGTCTCAGGAGCAGTCTGACTAAGCCGCAGGCCACTCTCCAGACCAGCAGGGGGTGTCAGGGGTGTGCCAGCAATGATTTTCTTGTCTGTTTTCAGTGTCGTTTAGGGAGGAAGGGTCTCGATCACTGTAAGGTGGCAGCTAATTTCCATTTGAAGACAGGAGGAAGGAGAATGATTTCTAATGTTCTCTTGATCCTGAGCTGTGGGGTTGACGAGGGTTGTGGAGGAGGTTATTGACGGGAGGCTCGGGCTCTGAGGAGTAGGGGCAGGGAAGCTCATGTTTAGGAATGAATTTAACCGTCCTGGGTTGTGTTGTTTATCGTGTCATCCCCAGGTGCGGCCTTTGATTTCCTCAGGCCCCACTCAGGACAGAAGGTACCATCTATTTCAGCCTTTTGTCACCTTTGCTTGGTCCCCAGGACTGGGCACTGCAGACATCAGGCATCCAGCCCATCCAGGTGGCTGATGTGAGCAGCCAGGGCTGGGGTGTTGACAGCAGGTTCTGCAGCGTCCTACCTTTGCCTGGCTGTTGCCCATGGCGCCTTCTCCAGGGGTTTATTGCTTGTAAGCACCCAGACCACTGGGTAGCTTCACTTCCCCTCCATAGAGTTTAAGCCTTTGTAGGCCTCATTTTTGGTTTAAAAAAATCTGTTAAAGTTTTACTACTGAATGCTTTTATAGTAGGCAGCTCATAGCACTTGTGCAGTTCTCAGGAGAGTGCTGCAGCCAAATCGTCTAGGTCATCAGCAGTTTCTTCTCTGGGGACAGTTGGCTGTTTGAAATAAAATAAGCAGTGGAAATCCCTGTGGAAAGTTTTATTCTCTCTTTACTCTCATGGAGGGAGGCTGTGATAGGCAGAAGCCTGGTCAGGAGATGCATGTCCTGTTCGTGGCCTGTCACTGGCTTAGGCAAATGCCTCTCTAGTCTGCCTCCGTCTTTCTTGACCGTAGTTACCAGCAGGGAGAGGGGCAGGCTGGTAGATTTCTCAACTTTATTATTACTACTATGATTTTAAGCAGTGAAGACCTTTTAAGGAAATCTGATATAAAAACACACCAAAAGTAAAGATTTCTTTTAGTTTCTTTTATCCAGGGTTTTTCATGGTTTCTACAAAGGGACATGGTCTTAAAAAATAGAACTTAATCCCATTCTGTTATGTTGTCCTAAACCTCTTCCCTCAGTTTCATTTTTCCTTTATTTAGAAAACATCCTGTGCTCAACTGGATTCAGGACCTGGCAGTCTCCAGCTCTACCCATGAGAAACATGGCATCTAGTGGGAAAGACAGACATTCTGGGGGCAGCCATACAAAACAGCAAGGTGGAGGGGCCATGGGCATGGTCAGAAAGCCTTCTGGTGGAGTTGAGGTCTTACACCTTAACGAGCAAGAATGAGGCAAAGAGGGAAGAGATGGGTACTTGCAGTGGGGTGCAGGAGGGAGCTGGAGCCAGGCATTCCATGGTGAGGGGCAGGGAAGGGCTGGCATGCAGGAGAGCAGGCTGGTGACCTTGATGTCATTTGTGGGTAGGGCCATCCAAGCATCATCCCAGGTCCTAAAGAGGATTCTGAGAAGCAGTACCCTTAACTTCTGTCAACACCACTGTGATGGTGGGGTGCAGGGCTGGGGTCCATTTTGTTGGAAGGCACTAGGTAGGCACCATCATGGGAATTCTTCAGACAATGCTTTACAAAGTGCTTTCAGCTGGGTGAAGGCGGGACTGTGGAGCCCTTAGATGGGCACAGGCTTCAGCCTGGCCTGATGATCCTAGACCAGCCTGACTTGGGGGCTGAAGCTCTCGGCTTGCCCAGTGCTGGTCCTGTATTACTGGACCCTTGGAGAGTGGGAAAACACCTGCCTTTGATTCTGCATGGCCTCCCTCTACTAACTGAGTCCCACACCTGTCAGTAGCAAGGTGGCTATACTCTATCTATATGATAGCAAGGGACTGTGTCAGTGACCCTACTTTTTAAGTTTCCTTAGGCTCTACATTTTTCATCCAGTCTGCATTCATCAACAAACTTGTTTTCCCACTTATGATCAACACACACAGAATTATGAGACAATTATTAACTACATGGACTACACCATTCCAGACCAGTGTAAGGAAATGGGTGTTTAGGAGGGGTTTGGGAAGGGGAGGCTTTGGCCTTCTGAAGATGCATCTGTAGTAGGAGCCCCTACCAAGGGCTCTAGGAAGGAGAGGGCTTCTCAGTTCTATAGGTAAATGATCTGAGGAACCTTCAGACATGGCTCAGTAACTTTCCTGGATTCTGGGGTGAAAAGACTGGGGTAGCAGCCTGCCCTAGTGCTGGCCCTGGCCTACTGGTCACTACCCCATGCTCCTAGAATGTCCTGCTCCTCTGGCAGCAACAGCACAAGCACTGGAAGATCAGATGTGTTCAGTATGCTACCCTACTCACAAGCCTTGCGTGGCTCCCTGCTGATCTTAGAATAAGGACCAAACATCCTAGCTGCCTACTTTCCCAGGCTCTCCCTCACTGGCTGGCCCAGCCTAGATCCTGGAGAGTAGTCAGCCAGGTTCAGGCATAAAAGTGTGAAAAGTAGAGGGACTAGCGTCCAGTGGCATATTGCTCTTTCCAAACAGCTTTACCTGTAAGCCAGAAGAATATTTTGGAAAGCAGCCCAGTCTCATCCTCCTACGCCAGATACACTAGCAGGGCGCTGCCAGGAGAGGGCGCAGCTTCGGCTGGGGGTGTGGCCTGTTGCCTAGCGACCGACCCCTATAGATTTGCTGCGGCTGATCTCGGTCTAGCCCAGAGCACTGTAGGAAAGCGAGGTTCTTGAAGCGTTCCAAGGAGAATTGGAGATTCTCTGGGAAATAAAGATCAGGAGCCCCTCGGCTGTGCTATGTAATCATCAACTTCTCAGCAAATCGTCTGCGCAGCCCTTGCTGTGAAATCGATGCCCTCCTTTGTCTTCTGACGCCACCCAGGACATGGTCTCTGCTTTCTTTCCTTTCTGTGTTTTGCGCAAGCGAGTCCTCTGCATAGACTGTTTCCAGCTTCCCCTGGTCATCTTGTTATCCTCCCAGACCTATTCCGTCTGCTTCTCTGGGAATCCTGCCCTAAACCCCTTAGGCTGGATTAAGAGGGCCTCCCCAGCCCTCTATCACTAAGTAGGTGTCTCTTCCTGGAAGCAGTGGCAAGGTCTCATTTGTCCTGGCATTCCTGGTTCCCCGTGTAGGGCTTGACCTTGGTTAGGCCAGTAGTTACAGAGGCCCGTTAAGAATGAATGGGTGAATTTCAGGGCATCTGTGGACTCTGGGATGCCTGGTTGAGTCATTTGGCCACCCATTGCTGCATCCTTTTCTTTACGTTTTTTGTTCTGTAAACCAGGAGCTTACACAGGGATCAGAGGAACAATAGGCCCTCATTGATATGTCAAACAGTGTACTCCCTTTACTTAACCCCCATCACAACAGTTATCATCCCTAGTTTTAAGGAAAGTGAAGCATGGAGAGGGAGGATGAATCACTTCTTGGCCTCTTGGCTAAGATCAAGTGAGAGAGGAAGGATGATTTGTGTCAGAGCTCTGGGCAGGAGTATGCTGAGGTTGGGTAGAAGGCAACATTCATCCCTGGGTGCAGTAATAGTGCTTTTTTTGTTTGTTAAATTTTGTTGTTGTTGTTGTAGATGGACACAATACCTTTATTTTATTTATTTTTATGTGGTGCAAGGATCAAACCCAGGGTCTCATACGTGTGAGGCAAACGCTCTGCCACTGAGCCACAATCCCAGCCCAGTAATAGTGTTATTAGCAGCCATTTTGTTCTGAGTTTCCATCCTGAGATTTTTTTGAGCACAGGATATATGAATGGATGCCCTCTAGTATCTGGGTGCATTCTAGCATAGGGAGAGCAATGTGAGGACATTTGCCTCCATGTACCATACCCATTCCACTGACTGTAGCACATAGGACCTCCTGAGAGAATCCTAAAGTTGGCATCATGGAGCGTCAGTGTGGAAAGAGCCCTTGGGTCCCAGGGGTAACCTCCCACTGGGTCAGGCATCTATATCTCCTGTTGCCTGTCCTCCTACTATGACCTGGGATTCACCATGAGCCCCACTGCATGTGCTAAGATTGGCAGAGCACTTGTTCTTGTGGCCAGGGCAGAGCAAGGGGAAGGGAGTAGTCCAAGGCAGTAACTCTTGGTTGTGGTTCCCTAAACTCCACTGAAGAGAAGCCCTTTCACCTGATGCTCTCAGTTTTCCTGGAGATTACAAAATGTGCCCCTCTGGGCTTGGGGTGAGGGGATGCGATCCTTTCTCTGAAGCCCTGGGGACTCTCCCACCTTCTACTATGGTCTTGGTGAGCCTGGGCCTAGGCCCATCTTTCAGGCAGTTTCTGAGTGCCCCATGGCCTCTTTTCCTTGGCTAAGGCCAAGGATTTTTGAAGACCCTGCTGCTCCTCCGGCCTCTTCCTAGTTATGTGTTATTCTTGGGCACATGATATAATCCCTGTTCCTGGTAATATTGGCCTAGGTATATGTTGAGGATGTAGAAATTCACATCAAATACTTCCTCCTATGCCACGTCTTGGTGCCTAGCAGAGGGTACCTATGCCATTGGATGGGTGAAGACACCTTCTTTGAGACCATGTAGAGAGGCTAAGAATTGGGCTGGGGTTGTGGCTCTGGTAGATGGTAGAGCATTTGCCTAGCATGTGTGAGGCACTGGGTTTGATTCTCAGAACCACATAAAAAATAAACAAATGAAATAAAGGCATTGTGCCCATCTATAACTAATACAAACATTTTTTTTTTTAAAGAGGCTAAGAATTGCAAAACCTCCCTCTCCCCCGCTGTAGCTCGTTACTTCCCAGCACTCCCTATATGCTAAGTACTATGTTGAGCTCTTTTCACAAATCCTATAACTTTTCAGTGCACCTTCAAGGCAGGTACCCTAATACCTCATTGTACAGATGGCAAAACAGGGCTACAGAGGTGAGTTATTGCACTCATTGTGTCTACAAGTGGCAGAGTTGTATTAAATTCTAGTTCCACTTGAGCCCAGAGCCATGTTCCTAACCACACTGTGCTCTCCTGATCTCAGAGAGGGGGGATGGTGAGTCTTGAGTCTCCCACCCCCACTGGAACTTGGTGCTCAGCTGTAGTCCACTCAGCTTAGCTGGGTTTCCGTGGATGTAGACAAGCAGAATGCAAAGAATAATTAGCTCAAGTCTTAGACAAGGAATGAAATCATTTTAAAAAAATTTCTGCACTCTTTAATTTCATTTTGAAAATGATGAACAAAGAAGCATGGACTTGAGTTCTTTTTTTTTTTTCTTTTTGTAGTTGTAGATGGACAGAATGCCTTTATTTTATTTGTTTATTTTTATGTGGTGCTGAGGATTGAACCCGGGGCCTCACACATGCCAGGCAAGCCCCTACCACTAAGCTACAACCCCAGCCCAAACTTGAGTACTTTTTTTTTAAGCATTTTTAAAATTTATCTTTTAGTTGTAGTTGGACATAAAACCTTTATTTTATTTATTTATTTGCATGTGGTGCTGAGGATGGAACCCAGGGCCTTGCACTTGCTAGGCAAGCGCTCTACTGGTGAATCACAACCCCAGCCCCCAAACTTGAGTTCTTAGTATTAATAGATAAATTTTAAGTCTAGTCACTTTCACATGGTCAGTGGGAAATTTATCAATATTGATGCTTTTAATTCAAATGTAACCTAGAAAACACTTTTGATTATTACTAGGATTATTTATTTTCATTGTCATTTCTTTGTCTTTCTCCAGGCCATTTTTTTTCGGGGGGGGGGGTTACAAT